TGACTGTCAGTAAATTATACCCGAATACAAGGTTAAATACTATACATCTTTTTTGGGAGCAAACTAGGAAGAATTTTTCGGCATTTAGTGAAATGGTTTAATCAAATGTCTTTTTCTGTGAATATATTTTTTCAATAATAATTTTTTTAAAGATTTTTATTTATTTTTTTGAGAGCGAGACAATGAGAGACAGAGAGCATGAGAGGGGGAGGGTCAGAGGGAGAAGCAGACTTCCTGCTGAGCAGGGAGCCCGATGCGGGAGGGACTCCAGGACCATGACCTGAGCCGAAGGCAGTCGCCCAACCGACTGAGCCACGCGGGCGCCCGATAATTTGATTTAGAGAATAGTAAAAAGTACTTTCAAATATCCTGCTCCTTCATCCCAAAACTATTACTGCTAAACATGAGTGCATTGTCAAATTTACACATTTCTTGAACAGACATCATTTATTCAATACATGTTGGTTAAACACCTTTGTTGTATGTGTTTGTTAAATATTTTCTTTGTGCCAGCCACTGTTCTGAATGTTGGAAAAACAGGAATGGAAAAAAAAAAACAAAACAGATCCCAGATTTTGTGAAGTTGGCATACCAGGAGTATGCCAAATAATAAACAAAATGAAAAGGAAAAATAAACACTATGTTAGATGGTATTAAGTAGTAGTAAAGAAATAGAACAGGAAAAGGTAATAGAGAATACTGGCATATTTTACAATTAAAAAAAAAAAGGTAGTTAGCAAAAGCCCCCAAAGAAAAAGTGACAATTAAGTAGACCTAAATAAGACACTGACTAATTTTATGTAGGAAATGATATTATCTGACATGGTCTAACAGGCTAGTCCTGGTTGCTATGTAAGGAATATACTGAAGATGCTAAGAACAGAAGTAGAGGAAAGATTTAAGAGTGCTAACAGTAGAGGAGGTGAAAATTTGTCAGTTTGGATATATTTGAAAGTATCACTGAAAAGATGGATTAGATGTGGGGTGTGAGATTAAGATACGAGTTATGATGTCTTTAAGTGTTTGGCTTGAGGTATTTGAAGGATGTAGTTGCCACTTATTGACTTGGGAAACTGTGATAAAATCTGGGGGTGAGACCAAGTGCTCAGTTTTAGATATACTAAGTTTGAGATGCCTAGTAAACATCCATATAGATGGATAGGTAGTACACAAATAGAAACATGGATAGATGCATAGGTAAATACATACACAGATACATACATAGATGTATACATACATATATAAATGAATTTTCAGTTCAGGAGAAAAGGAGAAGCTATAAGTCATCAATAGATAATATTCAAAGCTATGGGACACAATGAGTAAATATGGGGAGAAGTTCTGATGACCGAGTTAATGACAATCCATACCTACTTAAATCAGATGATGAAGCAGCAAGAGGAAAGGGAGAAGCAATGGGTAAGTTTTAAAATATGTGTCTATTATCCTGAAACACACATCGTGAAAGTTTTTTAAGAAGGAGGAGATGCTTATCCAGCAAATGTTGCTGTACACTAAAATGAAGTGTGAGGGTTGACCTTTGGATTTAGCAAAGAATTAACCACTGCCTCACTGGTGATCTTGGCAAGTTCAAACTCTGACAAGTTAAGGAGGTAAATGCTTGAATGGAGTAGGTTTAGAAGAGAATGAGAAGAGGAAATGTGGATAGACAATATGAACAGGATGAAAGTAATCAGAGAAATGGGGCAGAAGCTGGAGAAGACAGTGAAAGCAAGAGGTTTTGGTTTGTTTATTTAGAGTGTGTGTGTGTGTGTGTGTGTGTGTGTGTGTGTGTGTGTGTGACATTAGGTAAAAGAACATGATTCAGTACATCTTCTTTAACCCCAGGAATTCTCTCAATGCTTTGTTTCATGAATATCTTTAGTAGATACCTTGTCCATTTTGAAATTTAAATTATAGTATCTAGATAACAAACTAAATTTCTACTAGAGGTCAGCATGTATTACTAAAATACATACATTCCAGGGAATGTATTCCGGTGACATAAATGAGGGGTACTACCTTGTTCAATTCTTGGTAGTCTTTGGTCATCCACCATGAATCATGTAGCTTTTTTACTGGCCACACCAGGCCATGGAAAACACTGTAGGTGAGGCATGCAATATCCACTTGGTACAATTTTTGGATATTTTCTCCTATTTCCTTATGCTCTCCAGTCAATTCATATTGTTTGAAAGTTACCACTCTTCGGGGGGCCTGCGTGGCTCATTGTTAAGTGTCTGCCTTTGGCTTGGGTCATGATCCCAGGGTCTTGGGATCGAGCCCTGCATCGGGCTCCCTGCTCAGCAGGAAGTCTGCTTCTTACTCTCCCACTCCCTCTGCTTGTGTTCCCTCTCTCACTGTGTCTCCCTCTGTCAAATAAATAATAAAATCTTAAAAAAAGCAAATCATAAATATTAAAAATTAAATAAAATACATATGTTCTACCCAAGGCATTTGAATATTTGAATATGTATATCTAACCTAAACATTATAACAATTCATGTCAATGGACAATTATCAAGAAGTCAAATTTAAACTCTGTGCCAGGATCACAAAGCTCATCACTTATTTTTTCTTGAATATTTATGCACATTAATTTGATCTCTCCAAATGATTATTAAAACTAAGAAAACTATAACTTATCCCTATTGTGTTCAAGGCACCATGCTAAGGATGTTACATATATTATTCCTACTTTTCAGTCTAAGCTTACAAAATAGATTTTACTAACCTATTTTCTAAATAAGGTGGTGGTGATCAGCAATCCAGCAAGTTGCCTGAGCCTTGATAAATATGATTGATGAAGCAGGGATTCAGTCCAGATATACTTAGTTCCAAAGTACACGACCTTTAACTTTTACTACTTTATAAGACAGTACTTACTGAAAGACAGGGACTCAGTCATAAGCAACACTTATTTAGTATACTGAGTAAAGCTAAGTACAATGAAAGGCACTTAACATGACCTTACTGCTTATATAGCTGTTACTTTGTCTAAGAAAAACAGTATCTTGAACAACAAACAAAATCAATCTTTCTCATGTTTACAGATTTGAACTTTTAAGAGTCATGAAGCAAAAAAATGTACATTACTCCAGATTTTTTTCTTTTAAATGTCTTGCATTATCGAGACAATTTATCAAATTACAAAATGAAAATGAGACAAAACAAAACCAGTTCTCCTGACAAGTCGAACACTTCTATGTTGTAAGTTGCACATCATACAGTGTCATTGCACAATAAAGGCTGGTGTGGAATCCAGAAGTAATCCCCTCATTGGCCTGCTGAGTTTCCCCAAAGGTTTGCCACTGAAGGTGCGATTACCAGGACTATTCAAATGCAAGCAATATTTCTGAACCAATATTCTTAAGCCAAACCCTTATCTCTGAAGAATGCTGGTTTTCTGCATGCTTAATTTTGTGTGTGTGCAACTTAAGTAATAACTGAAAATGTAAGCCTCCATGTCTTACCTTTAAATACGATCTCAATATCAAAATTTAAATGTATGGGAAAAATAATTTGCAGCCCATTAGCAGGTTCTCACTTTAAGGTGGATTCTGCATCAAGGTTTAGACACATATCAGAAAGGACACAAAACCAGTCTCATTTTAGAATCTTGGTTTTTGGGAATCCTTGACGAGTTTAATATCCATCCCATTCATTATCTTATTTCTTTTCATTTACTTGTAATTTTCTTATAAGTTTTAAATTTTCAAAAGTGACATGATTTAAACATCAGCAACTTCTGGATGATTTTTTGTTTTATCTTATTCCTGTATGATATAAAAAAATCCAAAAACTTTATTGGGATACTAAAATAGAAGGAAATTAGAACATGCATGAAATTCATAAGCTAAAATTCTGTTATTAATAATATATATTCATCATTTATATATGATTCTAGTATAGAAAAAATGTGATTTGGAATTGCATATACATAGTTTTGAATCTCTTGCATTCCACTTACGACCTGTATGAACTTGTAAAAGTTCTCTGTCTTTTATTTCCATCTGTAAATAAAAGTTAGTGTCACCCAACTAATAGGTTGGTCATAGTGTTATAATTACTAAGTAAGAAAGTACATATGATCTTCAGCAATTAAAAGCAGTAAACAGTTTTGTCTCTTTCCCCGTTACCCAAAATCATAGGTATATTTAAATGAAATCAGTGATTGAATTTTATTTTTAGAACAATAGCAAAAAACTTATTTAACGTGTCTTTATAGCAAAATAAATGAAGATATATTATTTTTAAAAATATCGATCTTTCACAAATTCAATTACTAGTGACTTTTCAAACTTATGAAAAACTAAAAATGTTTTAAATATTAAATACACATATGTATATCCATGATGTACGCATATATTTATGTGTTAATTTTCTAACCTAGGAAGTATGTATTTTATCTTTCCTGAGTGAAACATCTGTGATATGAATATAAAAATGTAACATATTCAGCAAGACTGATTTTTAGTCACTTAAACACGGTAATTTTGAAATAAGTAAACTTTTCATAAAAAGTGAGATGTTCATTTTTCAAAACAATTAACTCTAAATAATTTTTAAATGACTAGACTGTATCATATATGCTAAACATTTTTTAGTAAATTTAGCACCTTTTGCTTGCTATTTTCTATGAACACTAATAGAACTCTATGATAATTTGAATATGTAATGAAGTACATGGAGAGAAAAACCTAGAGAAATTTTGTTACATAGGCTGAGAAGCTGAGCACCGGAAATTTTACCTCTGGACATTGGTCAACGTTAACAAAAAAAAGCAGAACCTAATAATTATTAGCTACCATTTAAACTGACTATGAAAGACACAATACATATCTTCCACTGAAACAATATATGAAGTATCTATCTTACTATTCATAAAACTAACATTAAAAGCCAAGAATATATTTTGATACAACCTTGTAAGCATTAAATCGAGTGATCAATAATCTTCCGGGCAGGTAAAAGAAATTTAACGAATGAATATAACTTACCTTATCCACAATACATATCTGCTTTCTTGTTTGAGCATCGAGTATTTCAATCTCAAAGTGCGCAGTTTTTGAATGTTTAACTACTGGAGCTGATTTTAGAGGGCCTGCTGAGAGCACAAGTTGCGACAAACAATGAAAGTTTCTCAAGTCATTCTTCAGCATGGACCGTGTAACTCCTCGGGAAAATATTTCTCTCTTGCGTTCCGAAGCAAGGGACTTGCGCCTTTTGAACATTGTGTGAACTAGCAGGAGAATCTGTCATGTCAACAGAAGACACTTGCAAGTATGTTGCCTTGCACCAGTTTAAATACTGCTGGTGAACCCGGAAAAGGTCAAGTGCCATGCCTTTCCAAGAGTTGTTTTATTTAGCAGGCTTGAAAACAATGACTGATCTATTTCTATATATAACACGCTATTGTAAATTGCGGCAGTGTAGAGGATTACTTTACCAGCATCCCAATTATTTCTTGCTTTCCCCTTTTATCTCTGCTTCTTAATATGGTCACTAATATCTGAAATTCCAAAGCACGAAAAGAGTAGAAAGAGTTTTTATTATAAATTCTGTATGCACGAATCTTCAAGTACATATGTTATTATTCACACATTCACATTTAGATGTATTTAAAATTAGCATACAGCTATCTTACAGATAAATTTAAAAACACCTAGTGCATTATTACATAACAAAAACTTTTATAAATCCTGCCTAAGATAAAGATTTGTGGCATGTTTTAAATACATAAATGAATAATGTTTTTTTATTTTATTTTAAATAAATTTATTTAAATAAATTATTTTTATTTTATTTAATTTAAATAATTTTTTATTTTAAATAAATAAATGTAAATGTATAAAAATATATATTTAATATATAAATATAAAACATGCTACATATAATATAATGTAATATAAATAATATGTATTATATATACAAATGTGTATATATATGATACAAATGGATGAATTCTTCACTTTGTACAGGGAATAGAAAGATGGCAAGTCATCCACGAGATTGGAATATGTAGAAAGCCATTTTATAATTTAAGGAAAAAGAAGTAAATTTCATTTTAACATTTCTACACATTATATTTATTGGGAAATCTTTGAATTTATATACGAAATTAGAACTAACCACCACATTTACCACAACACTAAACTATGGCAAATTGAAATAATCGCAAAATTAACAATGAAAAGTGTTAACCTGTAAAAAAGACTCCAAGTACTCAGATACGGGTATATCTGGTAAAGAAACAACTGAGGGATGCCTGCGTGGCTCAATCAGTTAAGCGGTGGCCTTCGGCTCAGGGGTTGGAGGGCCACATTGGGCCCTTTGCTCCCCAGGGAGCCTGCTTCTTCCTTGTCCTGCTGCACCCCCTGCTTGTGCTCTCTCTCTCTCTTTCAAATAAATAAATAAAATCTTAAAAAGAAAAAAAAAAGAAACAACTGAAAACTATCCAAAACATATTGTCATTGATTCAAAGGGATATTACAGGAAAGTATTCTGAGATGTCATTTTTAATGATGACATGAAAAGCAAAATGGTTAAAATTATATAGGGGTGTGGGGCACATGGGTGGCTCAGTCCATTAAGCAACTGAGTTGAGTTCAGCTCAGGTCTTGATCTCAGGGTGGTGAGTTCAAACCCCATATTGTGGATCCCACTTAAAACAATAATAATAATTACAGAGGGGTGAATCTATAAATCTATATGAGGCTAAAATTTACTTTTATAATTATAAAAGTAATGTATTGATTTTTAATTTTGACCAAACATTATGCACTAGAGATCCATTTACATTGTTCAGTTATGATTTCATCCTCTAGACAACCATTGTACTCAATATTTAATCTTTTGAAAACATACAAGACAGGAATATATATGTCTATGTATGTGTGCATTTGTGTGTGCATGTATTTACACACACACACACACACACACACACACGTGTTGTGTAATTTCATCACTCCAGTTGTCCAGGACTCCAAACTCACAAAATGAATCATCCTTAACTTCTCCCTCTCTCTGACACCTCAGTTCCCATCCCTCAGAAATCCAGAACACGGTCTTCTCACCACCCCATGCTACCTTCAAAACATCAATCTCATCTGTATTGCTTTTCCAAACTAGTCCCCTGTGTCAATACTGGTCAATCTAGTATCATTTTAATACAGCAGCTAGAGTGATCAGGGTCCTTGCTAAAGCAGATAATGCAATAATCTGCTCAGCACACAGCAGATGCTTCCTATTTTATGGAATAAAAAAGCTAAAGTTCTCTGCAAAGGTCTATAGGGTCTAAATCATCAGCACTTTGTTATATCACTGATCTCAACCCTTAAACTATCTACAGTGCCTACAACCATGTCTGGTACAAAGTAGGTGCCCAAAAAACATATATATTAAATAAATAAATAAACAAACAATCAGTAAATGTATCTTGGAGGTGTAGGCAGAATGGTGTGATGCTAATAGAATGCTCAGGTAAACTATTGTCTTATATTAAAATGACATAAACTCAACCTGTATGTCTCTTCAAATACAGTTTCTGTTTAAAAAAAAAAACAGTCTAAAGGACATAGGAGCCAAATTGAAAGAGCTCCCATTGACAAAGCCGGAATAATCCCAGTAAGGAAATAAATACTGATGATAATGGAATCTAACTTAAAGAACATGATAAACATCCATGAGTCCATACTTTTATGAATAAATTATTAAATAATAAATAAACAAATGGGCATAAGGGATGATTTTCCTTACACAAGAATTCCAAATAGTATACACACATATTCTCCTCCTGAGTGTGGGTTTCACTTAGTGACACACTTGCAAAAAAAAAAATTAAAGGAAAATGGAAACTCTATAGAGGAAAAACAGGTGGGCAGACAGCATTTTAACTGAGAGGCCAAGTTGACTATCACCATGAAAAGTCATGTTAATATCATGTACTCACAGGTACCATGAGATGAAGATGCTTCACCCCTGGGGTATTCTACCAAAAGTTCACTTCCTCAATCTAAACATGAGAAAACATCAGACAAACACAAACAGAAACAGTACTTAATACTCTTCAAAACTGTCAAACATTTGAAAAATAAGGAAAAATTGAGAGACTGTAGCAGATCAAAAGAAGATTTATGGTAACATGACTAAAAAATGCAATGGTGTCCAAATTGTTTCCTGGAACAGAAAATTAGTGGAAAAAACGGTGAAAAGATAATAACGTGTGTAGTTTAATTAATAGTGTTGTGCCAATGACACTTTCTGAATTTTGATAAATATACCATGGTTATACAAGATGTTAAAATTAGGGGAAGCTGGGTAAAAAGTACACAAAAACCACTCTGTACCTCCTTTTCAATGTTTTTGTAGAACTATTCCAAAATGCAAAGCATAAAATAAACACACACCTGCACTGACATATAAAATAAGGAATGGAGAAGGAGAAAAAAATGGAAATGAAAAACATTTTAAAGAGCAAACTTTCAGGTTTTCATCTGTGTCAATCACACAACTTAAAAATTTGTGTAGAGAATAAAAATGAAATCCTTAAAAAAGTAAAATAGAAAAAGTTTACAGAAAGATGCGGTGTCAAAAAATGTCTTTATTCTAATTGCATTTATTTATAATAAAGTATAAAGGATGGGGGTTAAGATATTACTGTTCTTTTTTTTTAAAGATTTTATTTATTTATTTGACAGAGACACAGTGAGAGAGGGAACACAAGCAGGGGGAGTGGGAGAGGGAGAAGCAGGCTTCCTGCCGAGCAGGGAGCCTAATGTGGGGCTCCATCCCAGGACCCTGGGATCATGACCTGAGCCGAAGGCAGATGCTTAACGACTGAGCCACCCAGGCACCCCTATTGTTATTTTTTTAAATATTTTTTATTGATTGATTTCAGAGAGAGAGAGAGCACAAAAGCAGGGGGGAGGGTCAGAGGAAGAGGGAGAAACAGATTCCCAGTTAAGCAGGGAGCCAATGCAGGGCTCAATCCCAGGACCCCGCGATCATGACTTGAGCTGCATGCAGACATTTAATCAACTGAGCCACCCAGGCGCCCCAAGATACTATTTTTCTTTACCCTCATATTTTTCATTTATTTTTGACAGAAAGTTATCCATTTCAGTTCATTTTCTATTTGAAGTACCATTTCTTCTTAGATTCTGTTAAATAATTAATAGATTTATTTTTTAAAGCTGTTCTAGTTTACAGAACAAAAATACATAATTGAATGCACAGTGTTCCACATACTCTCCTCCTCCCCCAGGACATAAATCTTTAATTAGTAACATCTTGCATTAGTGTGGAATTTTTGTTAAAACAACTAATATTGGCAGATATTTATTAATTAAAGTCCATAGTTTGTTTTAGAGTTTAGTCTTTGTGTTTTACAGTTCTTTGAGTTTTGACAAATGTAGAAAGTCATGTATCCACCTTGATAGTGTCATACAGAATAGTCTCACTGACCTGAAAATGTCCTGTGCTCCAACCTCCCCACTGTTCCCCCCACTCCAAACCCTGGGCAATGACTCATCTTTTTGCTGTCTTCTTTCTCCACCATATCATTAGTTGAAATCATATAGTATGTAGTATTTTCAGAGTGGCTTCTTTCATTTACAGATATGCTTTTAAGTTTCCTCCATGCTTTTTCATAGCTTGGGATCTCTCTCTCTCATGTGTATGTGTTTGTGAATAATACCTTTAGTGTAAGGATATATCATAATGTATGTATTCATTTATTTACTGAAGGACATCTTGATTGCTTCTGTAAACATTCATGTTCAGGTTTTGTGTGAATATAATTTTAAAATTATTGGGATAGATAAGTAGGAGCGTGATTGCTGGATTGAATGGCAGACCTACATTTAGCTTTGTAAGAAACTATCAGACTGCCTTCCAAAGTGGTTGTACCATTTTGCCTCCCACCAGCAATAAATGGGGGTTCTTCTTATTCCACATCCTTATCAGAATTTGGTGTTGTCAGTGGATTTTGGCCATTTTAATAGATGTGACATGGTATTTCATTGTTTTAATATGCAATTTTCTAATGACAAATGATGTGAAACATTTTTTGGAGCATATTTCTTATGCTTATTTGCCATCTGTATATTTTCCCTGGTGAGCTGTCTGTTCAGATCTTTTGTCCATTTTGTAATTTTTTTCTTATTGTTAAGTTTTAAGAGTTCTTTGCATAATTTAGATGTAAGTCTTTTATCAGATATGTGTTTTCCCAAAT